CCTTTACATACTAACTGATGTGTGGGAATTGTATTGTCAATCTACTTGACATTCTTTTATATGAACCTTCAAAAATAGGTAACTGTAACTGAAGATATGTTTAATTTTCCATGAAGATGACTCACCGTTGGTTGGATTGTAAAAGAAAAAGATTTTCATGCGGGAGGGTGATTAAACAGGAGAATACTAGAGACAGAATCAACATTACTAATGTTGTGCGTAAAGTGGAAATTGGCGACGCCAATGCCATTTGGAAAAATCGATTATTATTATCGAAGCCCGTCAACTCGTTTGTAAATAATGGACGAATGGAAGAGACGAGGTGAGAGAAGTTAAAAAAAAGGACGGGAGGAGGGTGGATGGCTGATACTTTATGGTCTTTTCGACTCGTCGGATATATCGATGTAGTCGAGCTGTGAAAATTCTGACGCATTATGCATTGGAAAAGTACAGTAAAAATGTAAGCTATGAACTGATACCTCCTCAGGACTTTTTTGTGAACAATTAAATCATCATGGTAACTTTACACGATGCAATGTAAGCTGGTAGACTGGTAATGTAAATTATAGAAATAAGAAGCTTAAGGTTCACAGTATTGAGGATAATGCCAACTCTGATGGCAACGTTGCCGAAGGGTCGGTAGATCAGAGGAAAAATTTCTATCCCACTAGGTTTGTTTGGCCAAACAAACCACATATATTTAATTCGTCTTTATTGTATAAGTTTTGGTCCCAACGGCGACCTTCTTCAGTACAATTGACAGTGACAACATATCTTATGCATCTGTCTTACAGGTAACACTTCGTATGTGTTTTCTTTTCATCTTCACATTCTTATACAGTGTGTTACTACAATAGTCTGAAACGTCCTGTAACATGTTATGATGATTCCAAATTTTAAGATGACACCACGCAAAACCAGTTTAGCCAAGGAGCACCTAGGGTAGGCGTTCTTGCACCCAGGAGGCCAACAGCTAAAAAGTAAAAAAAATACATGAAAAAGTACTCACGGTTCATCGAAACGAAATTTAAAGTACAGCTTAGATATATTAAAAGACACTTTGTATTTGCTCGATATAGGCAAACATCAGTGTAGGCTTTTAAAACGAACTTAATGCAGCAGGTTGCTAAGTTCGCACATGTAGGTCGTCAATTATGTTCAGTTTTATACACTCAACATTTCATTTTGTCCCAAACAAAACAAGAAACCACGAAGGATCTTGGAAAACGATCTGCATGCATTCGCGAAGCGTCGGTAGTATTTCGAAAACATTCACAGTAAATTGAAATAGTATGGGCTACTCCGATATTGCTGGATGAGTGTGCCATAATTGTTTGTTTTTTTTTAGAACCGATTTGTAAAGGTTTTGCTAACCAACACGGCCAGCGCCTGGATTGAGTACTGATGCGCACCGTACGTGTTTAATCGAGGTACAGGACTGGATTAGATTTTGTTTAGGTTTGATTTATTTTGCGGAGCCTGACAGTTTGGTAATCTTAAGACTTTGGTGTAGATGTTACTAGAAAAAGCTCTTAATAATCTATTCGCCGTGTAAAGGAAAATCCCAACTTTGAGGACACCCTGTATGGAAACACAACGATAAAAACACTATAACTATCCGTGAACAAATTCGGTATTAAATATAGATCGTTTACGCGGAAGAATTTAATTTCAAAATAGAGAAATTAATGGAATAGCAATTAAACGAATACCTATACATGGATGTATGTACGTGTATACACAACCGTAATCAAAATTATACATACACGAACCAGCATAGACGAAACGTGCAATTTTCATCAATGCAGCGCTTTTTCCGGTTTGATAGATCTACATAAACGCACACTGGGCCAGATATTCCGGAGATCTTTTGTTAGAATGTTATCTGTGTGCTCCCTTGCAAACATTTTTCAATTAAAATAGCTACCCCTTGAAACAGGTTGCATGCACGGACGTTGAATTAAAATTCATACTATGTAGTGTAAACAAGCAGTAGTGTTCTGGTATAGTTTTATAAATAATTATAGTTTGGATTACAACAATACAATTGTAGGTATCGGTGTCTTATCATAAGAGATCAGAAGTTTTCATACACTTTTACAATTTTTAATACACTCGTCAGATGATAACTCAGGACAGCCTAGCGATAAATGTCTTAAAGCCGCTCCACGCTCACGCGAGAATCTCGTCGATAATCTCGGCAAGAATCTCAGCGAAAATCTGGGCGAGAACTTCTTAGGGTCCACACTCGTAATGCTGGCAGTACACGCTCGTCGAAGCCATCCGAATGCGAGACTCCCCGATGCGAGGCGCCCCGAGGCACGAGGACCGAGGACACCGTGTATACTCTCGCAGTAAACATCGAACCGGCTCCTTGTGTAGATTCGTGCGAGTGATGGCCAAGAACGTGGAAATTTGTGTAGCTGTAGCCTATGCTGCTTATTGTTACTATAAATATTTGCATATTATATCAACTTCAAAAATCAAGAAGCCTTGGAAGAAAAGAAGATGGTGGGTGAAATCAATCAATCGAAATAGAAGGAGGTAGGTATATACTGACATTATTACGTAATTTGATTAGATTTTATAAAGTGTTTTGTGTTTGATTTGATTTTTTATTTTCGTATAAGGAACACATGGACAGACAGTTGAGCGAATTGTTAATGGAACCTGGTGGTGAATTTGAAAATTTTACTCGAATGTCTCTAGCTGATTTTGAGTATCTTTTAAATATAGTCTCACCAATGATTTCCAAAAAAGATACTTCAATGAGACAGGCAATAACTCCAAAAATACGGCTAGCAATTACTTTGAGATATTTAGCCACAGGCGACAGTTTCAAGAGCCTACATTATTTATTTAAAATTTCAAGTGAAATAATATCGCGGATTGTTCCGGAGGTCTGTGCAGCACTGAATAAGGCTTTGAAAGATGAAATTAAGGTAAATAGATTCATTTGCATTTATAGAGCTGCAGTTTTATTATAAAATGTTTACATCTACATGTTGAAATGAGTAATTTTCGAGTTGGTGTCTGTTTTTCCTCCAAAGGTCATATACAGTGCTTGGCTGATAGGATCAGATTCCTGTATGTGTTCTTCCATTTGGTCCTGGGCATGCTCGTTGATACCCTGTGATGAAGCATAGGAACAGTTATTGCTGTTTGCAGATGTAGATCGAGAATACGATAAGGAAATTAGCGATGAGTTCGAGGGTGGTCCATTGGAACAGGATGGCGTGGCGACAGAACCATGAGATGGATGCATTGCCCTGAGGACCATTTCGTTAATATCATGCATCAAGTATTCTCTTTGAAATTCCGGAATTTTTCGTAGTTTTTTCGCCAACATTCTACCGTATAAATCGCACTCGTCTTCTTTTTCATCATTTCTGGACACAACATTCTTCACCCATGAGAAGGCTTCCTTCATTTCACTTTCTGCTTGAAGCAATTCCGTAGGAACTTGGCGACGACGATATCTTTGCTGAGAGATTGGTAAGGGTGTTGGTCGGTGAGGTTTGGCTACAAGTGCTGCTTGCTGAGACTTAGCTGAGGGTACAACATTCACTACTTCATTGATTTCTGATTCTGATTCTTGAGATGTGGGCTCGAGGGTTTCGTTATCAAGAGAAATCTGAAAAATAAATACATTTTATTACATATTAACAATATTAACAATAAATGTAATTTCTTATCTTTTTGCAGATGCCGTCAACTACAGATGAGTGGATAGAAATTGAAAAAGGATTTAGAGATAAATTTCCTCACGCCATTGGAGCAATCGACGAAAAACATGTTGTAATCAAATGTCCTGATCACACTGGATCAGAATATTACAATTACAAAAGAACCTTTAGTATTGTTCTTCTAGCTGTAGTAGACAGTAAATATCGATTTATATTTTGTGACATTGGAAGCCAAGGAAGAATCAGTGATGGCGGCATACTTAGAAATAGTGTGTTATGGAAAAATATTTGTGAAAATAAGATGAATTTTCCTCCACCTTGCCCCTTACCCGGATTAAACGTCGATTTACCATATGTTTTCTTGGGAGATGGTGCTTTTGCATTAAGCGAGAACTTAATGAAGCCATATCCTGGCGATCATAAATTGAATACTCCCAAACGTATTTTCAATGAAACATTGTCAAGGTCTCGTGTATTGTCTGAAAATACTTTTGGAATATTAACTTCCAGATTCCGATTTTTCAAAAAGCCAATCGAATTGATGCCCGAAAAAGTGACGCAGTTAACAATGACATGTGTACTTCTACACAATTTTCTTATGAAAAGTTCTAGTTCAAAAAACATTTATAACCCGTCGGGCACTCTTGATAAATGTGATAACGGCGTTTTTATTGAAGGGGCTTGGAGGCAAGAAGTACCTCAAAACTGTGGTATTCGATGTGTACCACATATTGCTCGTCGATCACCGATTAGTGCGACTAAGATTAGAGATAATTTCACTGAATATTTTGTGAATTTAAGAAACAAATAAAATATTGTATGACATGTAATAAGTAATAGTTATTTTATTGAATGTACTTACCGTGTCTTGACTGTTTATGGTAGGGTGGCAGTCATATATTTGACCAAGAAAAGTTTCCATAAAGCTGTATGCAAACCATATAGGCTTGTAAATATCATCGCCCCCAGCACCGCTCCTAATGGACGCCTTTTTCCTTCTTAAGTGACCCCGGAAAGTGGCCATTAAAGAATCTTTTTTCTTCTTTAATTCTGCCACAGATTTGCCTGTAGATTCAGAGATTCGATTCCAGGCGTCAGCTAATTTCTCCTTTCTTTTATGATTTTCATCAGAGGGATCCCACAAACAAGGTTCGCTCTGATAAAATTCCAAAAACTTGATAGTAAAATCATTTGTCCACTCCATTTTAAAAATAAACAATGTCAACCAATATAGCCGCAAACGAAAACTAATCACGCCACAAATTCCACTGTTCAACAAGAGACCAGCGTGTGCCGAGGTCGCCCGAATATACCATGTCCACGCTCGCGAGACCTCCCACTTACGCTCTCGGTTCCTTTGACTCGCACTGGGAGACCGCTTCTACACCGAGCGCTCCGAGGGCGAGGCGAGAGGGTCTAGGGCGAGGCGGGAATAGTAAGTACACTCTCGGGCTCGTCTCATCTCGGATAGCCTCGGCGAGCGTGTACTGCCGGCATAAGATTCCCAATACAGTTCTCGTGCTCCATGACGTTGGACGCAGAATTAAATGTCGCGACAAGCTTATTACTCTGCACAGTGGCGTATTATACTTACGCCTATATTAAAGATTCGTATGCGAACCATATTGACTAATAAATCTCGTCGAAACCAGCACCAGATTTTTCCGATTTACGAGTATTGATTTTATTTTTATGCCATCTGTAGCTGGCATAATAATTTTTTTGCTTTTTGATTCTTCAATGGGTAATTTCATCAACGTACTAATACGTTCACACGCTTCATTGGCTTTTGGTTAATTTTTATATTCTTTTAAATTTGTATTCCATAAAATTGGCTCTGCTTGAAAATATTCTGGGAATGCCAATTCTAGTTCGTTCGTCCAAATCCGGCTCATATTGATGGTCAATAGCAAATACCACCCAAAACTGTTCTAATCGGCGAGTCACCTGCCACTGAGAAACATGCGAGTGTGGAATCAATACAAGTTCCCACATGTTCTCGCGTTCTCAGCTCTTTTGTCTCGCACCAAGAAAAGGTTACTACGGATGCGCATTCTGTTCTGACAAGTTTTGACAAATTCGTTTGAATCAACAAACACCTACTTTCCAATGATCGTGTTTACAAAGGCAGTGACCAAGACATCAGAATACGCATGCCGACGTAAGAAGTATTTAATCCTTCAAACAGATATGATTTCTTCGTACCGCGTGAGTCTGTTTTTGAGTACTTGATGATTATTATTAGACTATGGACAACGACAAATTGATAACTCTTGTGTGTGTGAGATATGGGAGGCAAAAATTGCCATAATAGAGATATTTCTCGGCAAAATGGGAGAGAATGCTACAGAACTCAACACAATCAGTAAGTACTTGTTTTTATTCTGATGTGGGTACATTATTTATCAATCACACGACACATTTGCATTGCATTGCATTGCATTACTCTGATCCTGAAATAGTCGAAAAACTTTTGCAATTGTTCGAATAACATTTGAAACTCCACTTTTACGTCCCTACTAGATAAAGAATTCACAGGCTGTTTTATACCATTCAGCAGCTATTTAACAACGGTAACCCTAGTAAAGGGCTTTTAAGCGAATAAAATTTGTCAACTATATTTGCTGGGTGGTTGAAACGTGCTGACTACCAAATTGTCAGAAAACGCGCACAGTGTAACCGCCGTGTTCTGACAAGGATCTCGGACGTGCTCGTCAGAACCAAATTTTGTCAAAATTCGCATCCATATAAACCGTAGTGTGAGGAAATAAAAAGCCGCTACTCATAGAGAGAATCGGAAATTTTGAAATTAGAAACCAAAGGTACCGGGAGGTCGGACTAAATTTAGTTTTGGTGTAAAAATCAAGATATAGATTGCTGTTAGGTTAATTTCAGTTTCGTATCATACCTATATACTTTGTTTTATGTAAAGAATGTCATCAAGCAGGTTGTTTTCACTACCCACGCAATCCTGCCTTATGTTCAGCTTATTATTCCATAGTAGCAACACTAAAATTGCTGAATATGAAATTAATATAGATATAAAATCAATTAGTGCATATGCAAAAAATCATAAGCTCAAACTAAACTCTTCAAAATCAAACGTGATTATTTTTTCACTAAACCTTTTAATGTTAAAATCAACTTTAGTGTTAGTTTAGGTTTAGATGGTGCTACTATCGAAATTAATGAAGCGGTCCAAAACTTGCGAATTATTTTTGATGAATGTCTCAAGTTCATACCTCATAAATAAAGTTACTAAAAGCTTCTTTCCGGTCCTTCGCCAATTATAACTGAATAAACGAATTCGATTATCAAACTGAAAAAATAATATGCGAATCATTAATTATGTCTAAAATTACTTAGTTACAACCCATTTATAGATACAATATCTCTTCCACGTTTATAAAAAATTCTAAATCCATGTTGCAGACTAATAAATAATTTAAGAAAATTTTGAGAATATAAGCGGTTCTTTAAAAAACTTGGGATGGTTGAAGATGAGAGAGCTATATGAGCTACACTTATTAACTTACATTCATAAGCTCTTGCTTCGATTTCCTCATCTTTGAAGAACAAGCTGATCTCTCGAAATTCTATTTACAAAACCTCATTCTTTCATAAATCCTTCACATACATCAGATATCACTTTATAATGAAGTACCTCAGGCATTAAGAATCAATAAGTTACAATGACTTCAAAAAACAAATTAAATAATTTATTTTAGAAAAGTACTCACCTACGTAGTTTAACCACTCACTTCTCAAAATGTTTCCTTCTCTATGTACATTCACATGTATGATTAAATTTTTATTATTTACTATTAGTATACTTAGGTATATTACTTTTACATATTTATATTCGTTATTGTGATTGTTTTAATTTTCAAGAGTTAAGCGGCATAAAAGCTTCGCTCTTTAATTAAGACGTTTACTATTATTAATATTTCTCATTCAAGAAACGTATGTTACGAGATTGCTAGCGGTGAAAAAGCGGAGTCGACAGTGGGCCGTGAAAATATACAGTGCTATCTGTGAAAATATGGTAAAAGTTGGAAAAACGTAGTATCGAAAATGAATGAAAAATATGTCCTGTTTCAAAGTTAATTCCTTAAACAATAAGTTGGTCATGGAATCAGAATTGTGCGTACCTTACTTTTATCATGTCAGACTGTTAAACTTGAACTTTGTGGTGTATCATGCGACACTACTTTTTCACGGCAAAATTGGGGAGTCTGTGTATCAGCCCTTGTGTTGCGGGTTGCAAGTATTTAAACAGTTGATTATGGATCATAGTCAAGGGAGTACAAGCTTTCATTTAATGTAATAGAAATTTGTCATAATTGTGGTTTTATTTTTGATGTACACCATGAGTCGTACGTACTATTATTTTCTATTAGAATTATTCAGAGAGGTTTCTAATAAGGTTTCTGCCCTTGGCCCCAATTAGAATAAATGATGTTTATAAACTATGTATTGCCAAACAATATCTTGTGTTGGTTTTTGTTAACTTTTGCAAACTATCTGTGCTATCTGTGAAAATATGGTAAAAGTTGGAAAAACGTAGTATCGAACATGAAAATATGTCCTGTTTCAAAGTTAATTCCTTAAACAATAAGTTGGTCATGGAATCAGAATTGTGCGTACCTTACTTTTATCATGTCAGACTGTTAAACTTGAACTTTGTGGTGTATCATGCGACACTACTTTTTCACGGCAGAATTGGGGAGTCTGTGTATCAGACCTTGTGTTGCGGGTTGCAAGTATTTAAACAGTTGATTATGGATCATAGTCAAAGGAGTACAAGCTTTCATTTAATGTAATAGAAATTTGTCATAATTGTGGTTTTATTGTTGATGTACACCATGAGTCGTACGTACTATTATTTTCTATTAGAATTATTCAGAGAGGTTTCTAATAAGGTTTCTGCCCTTGGCCCCAATTAGAATAAATGATGTTTATAAACTATGTATTGCCAAACAATACCTTGTGTTGGTTTTTGTTAACTTTTGCAAACTATCTGTGCTATCTGTGAAAATATGGTAAAAGTTGGAAAAACGTAGTATCGAACATGAATGAAAAATATGTCCTGTTTCAAAGTTAATTCCTTAAACAATAAGTTGGTCATGGAATCAGAATTGTGCGTACCTTACTTTTATCATGTCAGACTGTTAAACTTGAACTTTGTGGTGTATCATGCGACACTACTTTTTCACGGCAAAATTGGGGAGTCTGTGTATCAGCCCTTGTGTTGCGGGTTGCAAGTATTTAAACAGTTGATTATGGATCATAGTCAAGGGAGTACAAGCTTTCATTTAATGTAATAGAAATTTGTCATAATTGTGGTTTTATTTTTGATGTACACCATGAGTCGTACGTACTATTATTTTCTATTAGAATTATTCAGAGAGGTTTCTAATAAGGTTTCTGCCCTTGGCCCCAATTAGAATAAATGATGTTTATAAACTATGTATTGCCAAACAATATCTTGTGTTGGTTTTTGTTAACTTTTGCAAACTATCTGTGCTATCTGTGAAAATATGGTAAAAGTTGGAAAAACGTAGTATCGAACATGAATGAAAAATATGTCCTGTTTCAAAGTTCAATTAGAATAAATGATGTTTATAAACTATGTATTGCCAAACAATATCTTGTGTTGGTTTTTGTTAACTTTTGCAAACTATCTGTGCTATCTGTGAAATATGGTAAAAGTTGGAAAAACGTAGTATCGAACATGAAAATATGTCCTGTTTCAAAGTTAATTCCCTAAACAATAAGTTGGTCATGGAATCAGAATTGTGCGTACCTTACTTTTATCATGTCAGACTGTTAAACTTGAACTTTGTGGTGTATCATGCGACACTACTTTTTCACGGCAGAATTGGGGAGTCTGTGTATCAGACCTTGTGTTGCGGGTTGCAAGTATTTAAACAGTTGATTATGGATCATAGTCAAAGGAGTACAAGCTTTCATTTAATGTAATAGAAATTTGTCATAATTGTGGTTTTATTGTTGATGTACACCATGAGTCGTACGTACTATTATTTTCTATTAGAATTATTCAGAGAGGTTTCTAATAAGGTTTCTGCCCTTGGCCCCAATTAGAATAAATGATGTTTATAAACTATGTATTGCCAAACAATATCTTGTGTTGGTTTTTGTTAACTTTTGCAAACTATTTAAAAATATGACATATAAAAATATAATATTGACATATTATGGCAGGTGGTCGGAAACTTTTTTAAACTCATCCTTTGATTGGCCTTGGGCCCCAACTAGCAAAGTAGTGCTATAAGCTTTTGGTAAAAGAACCGTTCAGCCATAAAAGCTCTCTATTGTTGTTGCCTGAACACCAAAATGCTGGCTTAATGTTATGTGGAATGCAAATTTGGAGTTTAAAATATTCTTATATCATAGTTATACAACACCTTATAGGACAAATTTTTAACTATTGCATAAACGTTTATACAACTATTTTATACGGCATATTTGCACGTTAGTCAATATGGTTGAGTTGTGGCATCCATAACAAACCCGAGCCTTGTTGTTTTGCTGTGCAAATTTACTATTTTAGCCAACAAATTGCTCCCAACGGAAGCGCTTATACAACTGTTGTTTAGTAACTGTTAAAGGCTGTACATATGCTAAATATGTTGGTATACAACTTCACCATAACCTAACTTTCTGCTGTCATATTTTTGTTAAAATTCCATAACCAATGTTTTAAGACAAACAACGCATGCATACTGGTTCAAAAAGTTTTATCAACTGTTCAAACAGAAGATATAGATCTGGTCAAAATTCTGGGTAAATCATTCGACTCTGTCGGTATTTAATTTAAGACATTTGTCAAATTGTTGTATAACACCTGCAGGCAACAACAAAATATTCTAATAAACTAAAGACAACATGGACGATGCCATGATTATACACAACCACCCGCCATATTGGGCAAACATTTATTCCTCTATTTAATATTAAATAATTATGTTTCAGTTCGAAATTACAAATATAAAGTGATAAACATTGGTGTAATTGTGTCTAAATATAGGATTTGTGGAAGATTTAACGCAGATAAGTTCAGTTTTCCATCTTAAAAATCTAGACATACTTTTGATGATTATTAAAAAATGAATCAAATACGAAGCCCGTAGAAATTGTGAAATTACTTTGCACGATAATCACAATAAAATTTGCTGTGCAAGTAATTCGATAGCCCTATATCACAGTGTAGAAGTTTATCATATACCTGTGTATGAAATTCACAATGGCTGATATATAAGTAAACAAGATGACTGTAATGTGTTAGTTATATATTCTTCACTCCGTCTATACAATACATAAGAAATAGTTTGGTTGCAATAAAGTAGAATCACGTAACAGAATAGTTGTATAGTTAACAAAAACTGAATCTTGCACTGACGCAAATGTCCTATAGCGGCTGCAAGAGCTGCACTTTTGTTGTATAACTGTTACCTGCACCCTTATACAACCTCTTAAATGACTGAAGTGTCCTATTAGGTGTGCCCATTCCGCTTGTATAGCTGTTCTAAGAGGGTTTTGACAATGTTCTTACAGTATACAATGCTGTCTAAGGAATACTGTATAATCATTGTTGCAACTCTAATAGGAGTGATAATTGTTAGTTGGGGGACGAGATTGCTCCAGACGTCTTAGCTTGATTCAACCTCACAAGCGTTTTAATTCATGTATAACTATTATACATAATTTTCACACCCCCGCCCCCCCCCGCCTCTATTAAAATTAAATGTCTGAACCTAAGTAGGAATCCCTGAAATGTCAAAATACGAAGTTTGAGCGATATTTATCCTCCCGTCCTTTTAAATCGCATAAAGATTTTTCGTTATTGGCAACTTCATTAGTCTATTGGCGATTATTTTGTCAGTGAGTAATTTCAGTAGTTGTTGCAGCGATTTTAATGGAATAGGAAATGTAGTAGATAATGCTGGTTTATGGCATCACTTCCTTTCCAACGAAATCGTTGCAATGGTTGCTGAGGCTATGCAGTGACAAAATGGTCAATAGGGAAGGGAGTGAGTGACACACTATATTGAATTTTTCATACTTACGCGTCGCAGTAAAAAATGGATTAACTCTGAAATGGTATGCTTGTTCATAGATTATGACAATGTATGCTAACACTATGGCAACGTACGAAAAGTGAAGAGTATGCCGCGCGACTGTTTGATACGAATGTTTGACTTTCGCTCCTTATACTTCCATGAATGTGTCGAAAAAACGTCAGTAACCTTATTAGTTGCAAATTTCATTCTCTACAAAATCAGATGGTTGTTAGCACTTACAAGCGAAAATATCATTACATGTACCTTTATCCTTAAATTAGCCCATTACTTTCCGACATAATTTCATAGGAGTAGAATGATAAAGAATTTAATTCTTTACACAGTCGTTTTTCACATGGGATCGATGATTTACGATCGAACGCGTTTTTCAAAATGGCGGATAATGATCCGACCCTATCATGATGCTAAATTAAAATTATCATTAGGAATCAATAATCTAACGATATTACTATAAAATTCCTGTCGCCAAAATTTTAGGAGGAATTACCCATTTCCTGGCCTAGAATAAAATGCACTTTCGTATTTACATCATAGATTTCACAACGTTACGAAAAATGTATCATGAACATTTTCTAATCATCGCAGATATGCTGATTTGTAAGATAATCTTGCAAACCATTTATAAAATATCCGTCTGATTATCCTATTGCGCAGATGCAAGATATTGCAAGAAAACCCACAGCACCCGGTAAATTGCTCCCAGAAAACCATGTGCCAGATTGGAAACCAGTTGCACACGGTTACAAGGCTGTGAAAAAACTGTCCATGCAATATAGCATAGCTTACCGACGTTAGAAAAGTATAATAATGAAAATGATTAATTTATTTACAAAAAGAACATTCAATTTTACTCACATATTATGTTTAACTAGACTACAACAAACCTTTTTCTAGTTTTATTATATTATAAAGCAGCATATCTAATATGGGTGGTTCTTACAAAAATGTGGGTTCTGGTCTTATTAGAAGAATAATATATGATGTCTAAAGAAGTGGTAGGAACAGTAATAATTGTCTATGAGATCAAATCCTCTTTCGTAGCAAGTCTTTGCAATAATATATTGTAACATACGCGTCTCTAATTAATCGAGGAAAGAAAACGTAAACTCACCTCTCCATCTTTTTCCTTCACACAAACGTAGTCTGGAACCTACTTTTTTGAATATGAAGTCTCTCCACAGCACATACAGTATATAGTACACCAACGGTTGCACTATACTCCAGCCACCGATCACAGACAGCTAAACATCGTCGGAAGTGTACCTGTGGGGAGGTTATCACCCCTTACAACCCCCCGATAACGCGCATCGACGCCAGACGCACCCCGAATGGCCAGTCTAACTCTCACCCTCTGCGCTTTTATACACAGTGGAGGGGATGTGAAACTGCGCGGTTGCCCGGCAACTTGGGATCATAATCATATCGTACCTTCGTCCCCTGTCCCCTCGCGCTTCTGCGCCGCCCAACCACTTTGGGGTTGGGGGTAGTTTTGGGAGGTTAGGGGGCGATAGGGAAAGATGCTGGAGTGCTGGGTTCGTTGAGGGAAAATCCAGGAAAATTGGCAACGTTGCAAGAGCGATACAGACACGAAACTCACGCTACGCATAGTTTAGTAGGGGTGCATGAGGGACAGATTTGTGCATGGATGGTGGGTGAGACACCTATTGTTGCAATGAAGTTCTCATGGAAAATCGCATTGAAAATGCAGTCGTTCGTTTCAATTACTTATTAGGTTTAGTGCAAGTTTAGGCACAAATCTTGAAGCGAGATGACGCCGAGGGTTACTCTAAATATTGCGAAATGGATGCGTCATTGTAAATTCAATAAAGCTGACACATTCCCAGATTGACTGTATTTTAAGTATTTCTTTAGACATGTGAAAGCTGTTTTTAGGAAGACTGCATCTTACCTCTATGATCCTACTTCTCGACCTACAGCTGTCATATTGACATATTATATACTGTTTGCCAGATTGTATGGAAACTAGGTAATGCCTAACACGACTATGAAGTTGAGGATATTTCAATGCAACAGCTCCTTAGTAAGTAAATACTTTTCCCTTTACTTCCCACGCCTACTGGTGGGGAAGTATTGTAATCGCGAAATTTTTCGAAAATGAGATATTATGTTTTTTTAGATGTTATATGACATGTACATCATGAAAAACTATGTCACTCTTTTCCGTCAGTCTGTTTGTCAGTCTGCTCGCTAATCTTAGAACCGCCTATAACTTGAGAAGTACGGATTTTGATGAAATTCTCACACAATGCTACTACTATGCCTAGGGCGCAACAGCCTTGTAGTTAGAAGGAACGGCCTAAAATGAAATCGCTCAAACTTCGTTTTTTGGCGTCTCATCCTGATAACTTCATTAACAAATTTTAGAGGTAAAATCTTGGGGGTGATGGTTGTGACGGCGTGGGTAAGGTTTGTCTCAATTTTTTGGTGTTGGTACATTTATACGCCCCCAATATTGGTATTTCTACGCACCTATTAGACATATTTCACACATTATAGATTTCTCTGTACCTACATTTAGCCCGGAAAAATATTTTTGGGAGCGCGTACCTGTCGGCCGTGACTGCTGCTGGCGTCGTGCATCAACCCTGCCATTCCTCATTCGGCTGATGTAAGAATGCCCAAACTATCTCAAAATTATGAAATTGAAAATGATGATGCCGAAGGAGAACAAGAAGAAGAAGAAGAAGCGGTCGTTAAGCCTGGAACTTCCCGTGACTTGGATTTTGCGGCAGAAGCCCACATTTATAGTGGGAGTAAATGGGATGATTTCATAAAAGACTTGTCTGAGAAGCCAGCGCTATTTGGATCAAAACTGAAACAATGGCATGTACTCCAACCAGGAGATGATATCACAGAATACAGGACCCTGTATTTAATGACAATTTAGAAGGGATAGAAAAGGCAGCCTGGTAAACCTTCCAATGTGTGGTTCGATGATTTCAAGGCAACTGAAAAGATGACAACTATCAACAGTTTGTGAAAGAACTCCTGCAAAGGTACTATGAACTTGGATGCAATATGTCTCTAAACATTTATTTCCTCCAATTTCATATTGATATGTCCGAAATGGAACGCAGATATCCTTGAGATGAGTCAATGCTCGCAGACTAGTGCTGGACTCGTGCAAGGGATGCTTCGGGTTCGACATATAAATGGCAGTCTAAATGGAAACGTCAATACAAATAGACTATTGGTATGATATTATTACTTTGTTTAAAATTTATAGACAACGTAATGTTTCAAAAGCTGTGTGATCTCAAAAATTTCATAGACAATGGAATGAAATAGTATTACCTCATGAAATTTATATTTTCCTTTGGATAAATGTTTAATTTCGTTTAATTTAAAATTACATATACAGGATCTTCAATTTATTTTCAAATCGATGAATGCTGCTATGTATCTTGAAAGCAATAGCTAATGAAAAATCTCAGGCCTACATTCGTTCTTATCGACCTAAAACTAGTGAGATATGACTTCTTAGAACAAGGAGACTGAATTTTGTTTGGTCAGTGTAATCTAACTATACCACGAACAAATATTTACTGTCGCCTAAATTGTAGCATTTCGTTATACTAATTTGCCTAAAAATTCAACAAACAAACGTTCCAGTGTATGGTACGCCATTCTGGCGGCAATAGAAAGGCTAATAGAATTCGGAGTACGGGGAGTTGTGGTTATCTACGTGAGCGGTAGCGCGGTGGCGGTCGACGTTTTGTTTAGTGTTTGTACATGGCCAGGCACGATACTGCTGTTCCGGAACCCAGCTCAGCTCTTATCTAGATCGCGACTCCCCTCCCCGCCTTGTTGTACTCCAAATTGATAACTCTTATTAACTATTAGCTTTTAGCGCCGCTATCCGGCCACATCGCATTTTGTTGTCACTGCTGTTGTTTTGTTCTCTTTCGCATCAGGTATGCTTTGCATTATTCGACATAAACGTGTGCATGAGGCTTTTTTAATTCCAAGAGTAACATGTCTTCATTAGGAAACCCTGAAATCTTGATACCTTTAAGACATGTACACCTACAGGGTGGGCTGTAATGAGTGTGCCAAAAGGCAGTCCTAGATTCCATCAAAATAATGATATTGAGCTCAATATGTCCTAGTTAAATACCACTGGTTAAAAAGAAGTTCCAGGTCTCTCAGAGAGGAAGTCGCTCCTAGTCTTCGTTTCTCCAGCTCACCGGCAGAGATCGAATTGTCCCTCTGCATTCCTGTATGTAGAGTGCTGATATTTGTGTATGTAAGGCTAGGGCTCGGATTCAACTGACAGGAAACGAGATTGTTGACTTGTGAGAGAAACAATGTCGGACCCAGTACCGATCCCTGGGAACACCGGCATTGACATTCTGGAATGAAAAGGAGAGAATCCGTCAATTACGACGTAATGAAAAATATGAGAATCTATACAAATGTGTTTCCTTTATCCAGTTTCTCATCAATGACATTTTTTTTGCTTGATTCAAGTGTTCCAAAATTTATTTTGTAGGTAATTTAGGGTCAAAAGAAATAGCCGCAAATACAAACTAAGACGTGTGATGGCACTACAATACCTATTTAGCAAACCATTATCACCCACACAGGGTTGGAAGAAACATGTTTTAAAAAACAAAAACCATGTTATTTTTTGATTTAAAACTGTTCTTTTTTGTTTAAAACATTGAAATTTGTATGAAACAATAAAAAATTAGAAAATCATTGCTTATATAATTTAGCAAAGTTAATGAAGTTCCTTGAAAGTATTATTACTATTTTTGATCCAGCTCTATCAGAGCACATCTCTAACTTAAAAGCGGACGTCGGGGAACTACCGTGCGGACGTCGGGGAAGTACCGTTTGCCTTTGGGTAATTTTTCGACCTCCAGCAGTCAAATGTGCAAAGTCGTAGCGTAGTGGTGTTTTGTTTATTGTACATTGAAGATCGGCAAAAAAAGAAAGGCAATGACAGGGAAGAGAAAGAATCCCATGTGGAAATATTTTAAGGAGACTGATGCCAAAGCTGGCTCGAAAATAAATAAAAGAGCAAAATGTTTAAGCTGCAATATGGATATAGTGCCACTGGTGGCTAGAATGCCCAAGCATATTAAAAAATTGTAAACAACTTAAACAAGGAAGTTTGTTAGAAAAACAAAATATTCATATATCAGATAGTTCTGATTCCGATAATGATGATGCTTCTACATAACCCACTTCCTCAAAGTTAAGTAGCTTGGAGAATTGTGAAAAAGGTACAGTTTTTTACTTGGAGTTCCGTGAAAAGTAGTGAAAACTAAAAATTTATTCTATGTATATTTTTCCAGAATTTTATATTTTAAAAATATGGAATTGAGAATTTTTTGATTTTTTGTTATTATACAACTAAACACATAGTCATATTATATGATTGTCCTGCTTCTTGTAGTGTACTAGTAGGTATTAGAGTTCAGTGCAGTTTATTAGTATTAGTTCTCTAGTTTCATGTCTGATTAATTAATAAAAAACAAAGTATATTTTTTGGTACCTATGTGTTTTAACCTTTTAGTTCCGTTTTGCAAAATAAAATGTATTTTGATCATTCTTAAAAAAAAAATAATTCACAAACGACAAAAGAAACAGTGTTTAAAACATGTTTTAAACAGTTTAAAACAAATTGGTTTAAAGCACCTTCATTGTTATAAACAGTGCTTAGAACACTTGTTTTACACATTTTGATTAAAACATAACAACCCTGCACCCACAGTACTGTTTTTCCGCTTATACGTAATAAGTAGGAAACAAGAGTATTTTCACATTTTTGGAATGCGCATTTTAGATCCTTATGAAGCATGCTCTCCGCACATATATGAAGCATTGTCCTGACGAAAATTCTAAGAATATACGACTTAACATTTGGAACGGAAATGTTCATAGCATATCCACATAAGTGTTATCCATTTGTTCACATACTAAAAATATTTATTTTTAGGATATGCCGTAACAAAATCTTTTCACGTTACAGTAGCATTCCACCCAGTAATAAAAAGGGGCACGCACATTCCATCAAAATCAATCAGGAGAATTTTTCGGTCTATTGCCCATGTGCGTGTGTCCGAGTGACCAATGGCATAAGGGCAAGCTATCACGCATACCGGCTTGCATCTTGTTTTTTCCCATGTTTATGCGTATCTAACATAATGTGCATCGTGTGTGCCTCCAAGTGGTACATTATGTGTGGAGATTGGATGCATGTGTGCTCTTTGTGAAGACAAATCACCTGAAGAGAATATTCACAGAACGTGTGAATCTCTTGAAGAGATCATTTTCAGAACATACTTTTATTGGATAATGGATAATAAATTGGTAAATATATGGAATGTAGGTAATTGTATAGCGAAGTGTTTGTACCGCCATTTGGCTAGCAAAATACGTTCGCAGCATTGCGACTCCCCCATCAAATTACTTTGAAAGTAGGCATAAAATTGTCGAATAAATTTTGTTGCGCCAAGTATCGTCATTTGCACGCAATTATTGTATTGCTGGATATGAGTCAGATCATGTATAGAATCTGGCCCATTTCTTGTAACCAATGAATGTAGTGACTGTGGTGGTGGTACCAATGGAGCCAATTAGATTTTTCTACTGACGCAACATAATCCAGGGGCTTCATTTTTAAACTTGAAAGCCTTGCATTGTGGACTCACAACGTTCATTGGTCCAACAGCAACGATTTGTTGTGAACTGTAATCGTTGACCACGTCATAATTGAATGCAACTCGATTTTGATTAAATGCGACACTTCTACATTGTTGATTTTCAGTCCTTCGATCCCGTTCAAGTTCGTTTCTCGCTTCTTGTTGCCTTGCAGCATTGTGAGCTCTGCGACCTAGGTTGGTACGTC